GTGGGGCAGGGAGCGGGGCGGGGGGCTCAGCAGGGGGCGCTCTCCCCAGCAGGTAGGGCTGGCCCCACGGCAGCACTAGGGGGCACTGTGCTGCAGGGACGGGGCGGGGCTCAGCAGGGGGCGCTCGCCCCAGGAGGCAGGGCTGGCCCCATGGCAGCGCTAGGGGGCACTGTGCTGCAGGGACGGGGTGGGGGCAGCAGGCAGGGCTGGCTCTAGGGTGGTGCTAGGGCGCTGTGGGGCAGGGAGCGGGGCGGGGGGCTCAGCAGGGGGCGCTCTCCCCAGCAGGTAGGGCTGGCCCCACGGCAGCACTAGGGGGCGCTGTGCTGCAGGGACGGGGCGGGGCTCAGCAGGGGGCGCTCTCCCCAGCAGGCAGGGCTGGCCCCACGGCAGCGCTAGGGGGCGCTGTGCTGCAGGGACGGGGCGGGGCTCAGCAGGGGGCGCTCTCCCCAGCAGGCAGGGCTGGCCCCACGGCAGCGCTAGGGGGCGCTGTGCTGCAGGGACAGGGTGGGGGCAGCAGGGGGCGCTCTCCCCTGGCAGGCGGGGCTGGCCCCACGGCAGCGCTAGGGGGCGCTGTGCTGCAGGGATGGGGCGGGGCTCAGCAGGGGGCGCTCTCCCCAGCAGGCCGTGCAGGCCCCAGTGTCCCAGCTTGGTGCTTGTGGGCGGGGGGCTCTCCCCTCTGTTGGCGTGACTGCAGTGCCCCAGCAGTCGTGCGTGGTCTGACACGGAGGTCCTGGTCCCTCTTGGCCGTGCGAGCGCCAGGTCCCTTTCTGCAGGGCAGGAGGTTTACGCCCACATCCCTTGCGCTGTCCTCGGCGCCCCTTGCAGGCTCAGTGAGCGCCACGTGCTGTGTGTGGCATGACACCACTGCTGTACTCACCCCACAGGGGGCTGTGTTTCCAGGGGGTGCCATCTAGGGCTCCGGAGCTCTCGCTGCCCCCAGGCCGTGTGGGGAGGGCGCAGGAAGGCAGAGCTGGGCCCTGGCCTGCCCTGGCGCTGGAGGGTGCTGGCCGTGGGGCAGGGCTGGCCGGCTGTATCCAAGTGCCCTGGAGGAAGCTAGGAGCAGCAGCCCAGCCGTGCTCAGCACTTTCCTCGCTATTGTTTCGTTCGGCACATTTCCTCCCAGTGCCCCACGGGAGCAGCTAGTGGCCGAGGATTTCCGGGCCCAGCCCCACACCCCCTGCGCTGCCCCTTCCTTCAGGCTCCACGCCCCACAGCTCTGGCCTGCTGTTCCAGAGACAGCTAGCGAAGCGGGGTCCCTGCCAGGCAGTCCGGCTGGGCTGTGCCCCCTCTCCTGGGCACTGCCCTCGGAGCGCTGCTACCAGGGCACCTGGAGAGGTGGTGCCCGGGCGGGTTGAGCTGGGGGCAGTTGGCTCTGTGGCCTGGTAGGACCCTGGCCCTGTGCACCAGCCTGGTTCCCCCCTGCCGGGGGCGCCGAAGCCAGCAGCCCTTCTTCTCCAGTCGCTGTCCTCTGTCCGCATGGTTTGCAAGCCCTGTGCTAACCCTGCCTGCGCCGTGAGCCCTGGTCCCGTCCTGAGCGCCTCGGCCGCGGCACCCCCCCTCTGCAGCCTCGGGGCCGGGGCAGCCAGGGATCCCTGGGTGCGATTCTTCTCTGACCCCGGAGAGCGGGGCCCCAGCTTCCCCGCTGGCAATGGGCTCCCAAGGCCCAGCAGTCGAAGGGCAGGGCCCGCTCGGGCTGGGGGGTAGTGCGGGGAGAGGGGCTGAGCCTGCTCCCGCTGCGGTCCCTCGGGGTGACTGCTGGGAAATGGGGCAATGGAACGGGCGCCTGGGAGAGGGGCCAGTCAGGGCTAGCTAGGCCTGGCCGGGGGCCACTCAGCTCCCTGCCCCACCCTGGGGGAGGGGGCCTGGCACTACTGATTGGGGGCACCAGGTGTTGGGTTCCTCTTGCTCTGACCTCTCCTCGGAGCCCTGGCGCTGCCCTGCGTGGGGGGAGGGGTGCTCAGGGCACTGGGGGGGCCCTGGCGCCCCGGCTCGGCCACTCACCCCCCTGCTCCTTCTGTCTCTGCAGCCCCGCGAGAAGGGGCGAATGCGCTTCCATAAACTGCAGAATGTGCAGATTGCCCTGGATTACCTGAAACACCGGCAGGTGAGCTGCGTCGGGGGGGGCAGGTGAGCTGTGGGGGTGGGCAGGGGAGCGGATGTGTGTGTGGGAAGGCAGGTGAGCTGCATGTGTGTGTGGGGGGCGGGTGAGCTGCGTGTGTGTGTGGGGGGCGGGTGAGCTGCGTGTGTATGTGGGGGGCGGGTGAGCTGCGTGTGTATGTGGGGGGCAGGCCAGGCCGGAGAGCAGGGGAGGGACTGAGCTGGGGAAGGGGTTTCCCTAGGGGCGGGGGAAGGACAGGCTCTGCCCCTGCTGGGTTGGGGGGGTCTCCCTAGGGCGTGGGGAAGGGGCAGGCCCCAGGCCTGCTGCCTGAGGAGCCCGTCGGACCCCCTGGTGTAACTGCGGCTCTCGCTGTCGGCAGGTGAAGCTGGTGAACATCCGCAACGATGACATCGCCGACGGCAACCCCAAGCTCACGCTGGGCCTCATCTGGACCATCATCCTCCACTTCCAGGTGAGCCTGGCTCCACCTGCCCCATGCGCCTGCCCCCCCCCCACCAGCGCCGCCCCCCCCCAGCGCCCCCTGCTGGGAGCTCCCCCGCCGCCAGCGCCCTGCCCCCCCACAGCTCCCCACAGCACCCCCTGCTGGGAAAGGCCAGGGCTGGTCGCTCTCTCTCGTTCACTGGCTGCCCTGGGGCCCAGCTCCCTTTTCCAGAGCTGGCAAGCAGGGGGCTGCTCCGGTAGGCCCTGCGGGAGTGCTGTGGGCAGGGCTGAGGGGGGAGCTGCTCTGGAGTGGGGCGAGACCCCGGGGCTCCCTGCTTCTCCCTCCCCCGGCCCGGCACGCTCTTGGAGCCAGGCGCCCTGTAGCTGGGGTGTGGCCCTGCGGGGAATGCTGGGCTCTGCCAGCCCTGGCACGGCGGGGGCGGGAGCTGCCGGGGCGGGAACGCTGCAGCCGCAGGGGCAGCGTTTTGGAGGCTGAGTCACCTGCTCCCTGGGCCAGGCTGCCGAAGCGCGGCTTAGCCCCAAGGCGGAGCCTGGCAGCCACGGTGACTCAGACTCACGGGCCCTGGCTGGCAGCCGCGAGCTAGCCACAGTCGTTTCCTGTCCCCAACGGTGCTGGAGCTGCCCGGTTCTCACCGACCACCTGGGAACGGCAGGAACCAGTGGAGCTGCCCCCAGCCACCGGGCACAGGGTTCCTGGCATGGCCACCCTGCTCCATTGCACGCGGGTCCCCTCCTGCTGGGGAGCCCTGTCCTGCCTGGCCTGGAGCTGGGCCTCGCTCACTCGCTGCTCTTCCTGGCCAGGCTCTGCAGCTCCTCTTCTCATAGTCCCAGTAGAGCGCAGCCCCCAGGGCTGGGAATGGGGTGGGGCAGGGCCCGCCTGCCCCACAGGCTGCACTGGGGAGGGGGGCGGCTCAGCATGCAGAGCCCAACCAAAGGGCTCTGAACCCAGGAGTCCTGGCGTTCCAGGAGGCTGCCCGTGGGCTCCTTTCCCTGCCCGGAGCAGGAGAACGGGACCAGGCTGGGGCCCGGGCAGTGCCCGGGGCAGAATCCGTGCTGCAGCAGTGAGGGAGCAGCCGGGGCGAGCTGGCCAGGGAGTGCCCAGGGCATCAGGACCTGCCGTGTGCTCTGGGGAGAGCACCGGGCGTGGAGAGATGCCAGGCAGCTGGCGGAGCAGGTGCTTCCGTCTTGCCCACTGTCGCGGCCCAGCCTGCAGCCTCTGTCGGGGGGGGCGTGTGCAGCAGACGTGTCCCTGGCTGGGGGCCAGCGAGCCCCCCTGCAGCGGGGGTGCGTGCGGAGCCGTGCTCTCTCGGGCTGCGGTTCAGGCGCCATTTCCGCCGGGGTTGGGAGTTTGTGCCCAGCGTGGGCGCTTGTGGTGAGCGCCAGCGACTGGAGCCTCTAACCCCCCCCATGGGCTGCGGTCCCAAGTGAAACAGGAAGGAGGCTGCTGCGTCCTGGGGTGGGGGCGTCACGGAGTCCCAGGCTGCTCGGGAACCCCCCTGAGCGAAGCCAGGCAGGACTCTGGTGCAGTGACTCCCGCAGGGCTCCCTTACGCCAGGGCAAGGAGCCTGCTCGGCTTCGGTGCTTCCTGGGTCTGACCTCAGAGCGTTCAGCCCCCTGTGAGCTCCCTGCGGCGAGTCCCCCTGGGTGGGACCCCCGGGGAAGCCTTGTGCACCCCCAAAGGGCCCTGCCCCCCACTCCACAGACAGCCGTGACTCTCAGAAGGGTTATTAGTCGACAGGAACACAGCGTAGGACAGAGCTTGTTAGCACAGAAATCGGAGACCGACTCCTCCCAGCTGCCTGGCCTCCTTCAGCCCCACTGCCCCTCCTCCCTCCTTTGTCTCTTTCCCAGGCCAGCAGGTCACCTGCTCTGCACCAACACCTCTGGCTGGTCCTTGCAGTGGACTGGGACCAGCCGTCAGTTGCCAGGATACAGGGTGTCGGCTGTTCTCTGCAGCCAGTCCCAGTCACGCCTGCCCTCTCCGGGTCTCACACCCTTTTCCCACCACCCAGAGACTTGAGTAACACAGAAGGGAAACTGAGGCAGACACAGTATTCAGAGAAAACATTAAGAACATTCCCACTTCGTCCCAGGATGTCCTTGGGCTGGGGGGAGGAGGAGGCCCCAGTGGGGCACTGGGTAGGGGCTCCGCAGGGCCAGGGTGGCTGGCTGACGTGCTCCCGTCCCTTCCAGATCTCGGACATCCAGGTGACCGGGCAGTCCGAGGACATGACGGCCAAGGAGAAGCTGCTGCTGTGGTCACAGCGCATGGTGGAGGGCTACCAGGGCCTGCGCTGTGACAACTTCACCACCAGCTGGCGGGACGGGCGTCTCTTTAACGCCATCATCCACCATCACAAGTGAGAGATGGGCAGGGGCTGGGCACGGCCTGCACTGGGGGTTGGGGCTGGAGGGGGGAGCAGGGACTCTCACTCGCTGGCTGGTAAGTGTGTGCCCAGGGGCTGCCCCACACGCAGCTCTGCCAGTCCAGGGGTGCTGGGCTCCCTCGCTCTGGGGCTGGGGGGCAGCGGCTGCTCTGTGTGGTCTGGGCCCAACCCCCCTTGGCTGGGGCTGCCTCCCCGCGCTGGCAGAGGCTCTGCGGGACAGGGCGGCGAGGGTGCCCTGCCCCTGCTCGGCTCTGGCAGGCGCCTGCTGCCCCAGGCAGCCAGTTCTGCGGGAGCGTGTCGGGACAGTGAGCTGGATAGTTCAGAGGGGTGGAGCTGGGCCGCGCCCTGTGCCAGCCCCGGAGCCGGGAACTGTTTTCCCGTCCCAGACTCCTGGGGGCCGGCGCAGCCCCCCCAGCTAGCCCCTCTCCGAGCCACCGGGGCTCCCCAGGCGAGTGACTCCAGCGGATACGCCGCAGCTGCTGCCGGGGTCCCCGAGCCGCCCTGCAGTCCCCACGGGGGGTCCCAGCGCAGTGCTGGGAGCAGTGGGCCGGGCAGGTCCAGGAGGGGGGTTCTCCAAGCAGAGTAGGGGCAGCGCGTGCAGGCAGATCACATCGGGCCCGTCTCAGCAGGATCGGGCCCATCTCACTTGCCTGCCCTTGGAGCCCCCCGCAGCCGGGCCTGGCGCTTGGGGACTGCGTTAAATGCAAAATGCCCAGACGAGTTCCAGCCCATCAGCTTGTGCCAGCGTCACTGGGAGCTGGGCCAGGCAGGCGGACCCCCTCTGACCCCCGTATGCGTCGCCTGCCTGGAGCTGCCCATCCCCAGCACACAGCGCTGCCCTCGGCTGGGGGGTCTGCAGGGCACCAGGCTGGGAGCCGGGGCGGGGCGGGGAGGGGGGGCTGCTGGAGGCTACGTCAGCTCCCGCTTCCCTCTGTAAGTGTAACAAGTATGTGCAGGAGCCGCCCCGCCCTGGGAGAGGCAGGGGGAGAACGCGGGGCTGGCAGTGCAGCACAGCACAGCCGCCACTCTGTGGGGAGAGGGCAGCCCCCGACAGCGCAGCGCCAGGGCGGGCGGATCAGCCAGCGGCTCCCGGCTCCCAGCGCAGCGCCAGGGCGGGCGGATCAGCCAGCGGGTCCCGGCTTCCAGCGCCAGGGCGGGTGGATCAGCCAGCGGGTCCCGGCTCCCCAGTGCCAGGGCGGGTGGATCAGCCAGCGGGTCCCGGCTCCCAGCGCAGCGCCAGGGCGGGCGGATCAGCCAGCGGGTCCCAGCTCCCAGCGCAGTGCCAGGCCAGGGCGACTCAGCCAGCGGCTCTCCGACAGCGCAGCGCCAGGGCGGGCGGATCAGCCAGCGGGTCCCGGCTCCCAGCGCCAGGGCGGGTGGATCAGCCAGCGGGTCCCGGCTCCCAGCGCAGCGAGCAGAGGAAGGCTCGGGCCCCGGCATGGAGAGGAGCTCGCGCCAGCGGGCGAAGAAGAAGCTGCAGCGCCGGGCACTGGGCGGCTCAGCGGGGTCCCGGGCGGGGGCAGAGGAGCAGGTGGTGATGGTGTGCGAGGAGATCGCCGACCCCGCTGCGCTGGAGACCTCCAACGTCAGCAGCTCGCTGTACTCCCTCCACTCCACCCTGCGCCTCGAGGAACTGTAGGCACCGCGCCAGCCGGGGCATCGCTGCTGCGAAGATGGGGTGCTAGGGGAGCCAGGGCAAAGCCTTGACTGGCCGCGGCTGCCCCCTCCCCCCAGGCTGCACTGGCTGGGGGGCTGCAGCTGATCTGGTGGGGGGACGGGCAAAGCTTGTTCTGCTTCAGCTCACCCCCCGGGTGCATAATTCAGTTAAAGACCCGCATTTACAGAAACCTGGGCCGGGCCCCGCCTGAGCAGGGCCCCAGGCCGTCTGGCGCAGCGGCAGTGGGGTGGGGGTAGTTGGATCTGCAGAGCTGGAGCAGATCTGCCGGCTCGGGGCAGCGTTACTTGGCTCCTGCTCCCTGCCGGGCTGTGGCTCCTGATGGGGCCGCCAAGCCCCGGAGCCGGGGGAGCTGCCCCGTTGCTGTGAGGGGCTCAGTGTCTGTGGCAGGGCTGGGGGAGAATGACCCACGGGCACAGCTGTTGTACTGTTGTACAGGAGCCAGCCTGACGGCCGGGCAGGGAGAGGGGCAGCGCACTCTGCCCCGGAGCGTCGGGACTGCGGGGAGCTGCTGTGCTGAGCCCAGGGGGCTGGTCGGAGCTCTCCCGGCCCCACAGCCGACACCCTGCGGGGGGGGAGAGGGGGAGGGGCTCAGGGGCTGCCAGCCCCTCACGTGGTGTGAGTGAGTGTCTCGTGTTTCCCTCAGGAGTGCAAGGGTTAAGTGCCGCGGCTCGCCCGCCTGCAAGGGGTCCCGGTGCCGCGGCTCGCCCGCCTGCCCGCGAGGGGTGCTGCCCACAGGGTTCTCCTAGCCCCGGCAGCGGGGGACGCTGGTGATGCGCTCTCTGTGGGCACAGACCTGGCCCAGGCCGCAGCTCCCACCAGACGGTGCCCCCAGGCGTCCCAGCTGCCGCAGCCCTGGCATGGCATGCGGGGGGGAGGGGGGAGCTCAGTCGATGGGGCCCCAGAGTAGGCTCCAAGCTGGGCTTGGGGTTCGCAGTTGTGGGGATGCCCGGCCCCTGGCCCCTCACACGCTCCGTCTCTGATGCAGGCCCATGCTCATCGACATGAACAAGGTGTATCGCCAGACCAACCTGGAGAACCTGGACCAGGCCTTCACCGTGGCCGAGCGGGACTTGGGGGTGACGCGCCTGCTGGACCCTGAAGGTACGAGGTGCCTCGCACACGGCCCCTCCCTGGCATGGGGCAGCCACCCGATGGCTCTGCTCCCTGCAGGGAGCCCTTGGGTGCAGCAGCCCCTCGACCTGGGGGTGCATCCCATGAGCACGGGGGGCAGCCCCCTGCAGGTGGAGACCCCTGGGCTGGGGCTCCCCCCACAGCCGCTCACGCTCTGCCCCTCCCCCCAGATGTGGACGTGCCCCAGCCGGACGAGAAGTCCATCATCACCTACGTCTCATCGCTGTACGACGTCATGCCCCGCGTGCCTGACGTGTCAGTCGGCCTCAAGGCCAATGTGAGTATGGGGCTGTGGAGGCCAGGGGGCTTCGGGGCTGCGGCGTCTCTGGGGCTGGCCTGTGCGCAGCCTGTCGGGGTCCGGGAACCCCGCTGTGCACAGGGACAGGCTGTGAGACGCCGGCGATCCCTCTCTCCACGCTCCCTGCAGCGGGGCCCGGGCGATCTGCAGAGACCCCAGGGAACATGATGGTGCCTGAGGCTGTGGGCTGGTGCCAGAGAGGCGGGCTAAGCATAGAGCTCCCCCCAGTCCCTTGCCCATCCCCTGACGCCGCCGCTTTTGGTCTCCAGCTCAGCCGCGCTTCCCTGCAGAAGGGTGGGGGGGCCCCTGTGTCACGGAGCCCCAGGATCAGCGCTAGGCCCCAGCTTGAGAGCAGTCTGGGAGGAGCCCTTCAGTGAGCCAGACCCCCGGGGGCCTCTCTCCCTGCTCAGCCTGACCCCTGGGGGTTCCAGCCCTCCTGCCCCACCCCCTCAGCTCTGCCCAGCGAGTCCAACCGAGCCAGACCCCGGGGGAGACCCGGCCACGCAGCAGGGGCTAGTGCCCCTCGCCCAGCGTTCCCAGGGACACTCCGCGCTGTCACAGCCGGGTTGTTAGCTAGCTGCTCACGGCACGGGAAGTGCTCAGGGGAGCCCAGGGAAACGTGGGTTAAAGCCCAGACCGGTGGGGTCAGCCCAGAGCCCACAGCCCAGCTGGGAGCCCCGTTGTTCCAGCTCTGTCTGTCTGTCCGTCCGACCTCCTTGGGCAGTTCCCAGGGGAGAGGCCAGGCTCCTTCCAGCAGCCAGCACCTCCCCCCCACCTCACTCCTCACAGTCCTTTGTTCTCGAGCTGGGGGGTCTTTGCTCAGCCTCCCTGCAGAGGTGGGGAAACCCCTCCCCCTCCCCCCCACCTTGGGTGCCAGGGGTCAGCGTCCCGGTGATTGGCTTTGCCATTGTCTTCTCGGGTCCTCCATTGATACGGGGTCAGCTGGGCCAGTCCTTTCCGGTGGCCCATCCCGGCTCAGACAGCCCAGCAACATTCATAGCCAGGTCTCTTAGCCTGCCCTAAGAGCAAACAGTCCTTCCCCCTTCCCCACAGGGTAACAGTGCAGCATGTAGGGGAAACTGAGGCACACACGGGGTCATTCCGGCGGTGGGGTGATGGGCCAGTCACTGCGGTTCCCATCCAAGGGTGATTCCAGCTGAGATGGTCCCAGGGAGGCCCCGAATCCCACCCATCCGTTTCTGTGCTGTCTCTGGGACCTCCCGGGGACCGCCCAGCCCGGTGGCTGCGGGGACCCGGGGCCATGCTTTCGCCTGTCCCCTAGGAGCTGCAGCTGCGGTGGCAGGAGTATCGCGAGGTGGTGACGGCACTGCTGCAGTGGATTCGCAATCACACCGTCATCTTCGAGGAGCGCAAGGTGCCGGGCAGCTACGAGGAGATCGAGGTGAGGGGCCCGGCCACGCAGGGGTGATTCCCGGGGACGGGGCTCTGGGGACCTCTCGTCAGCCCCCAGCTCCCCAGCCCCTGAGCCGTCTGAGCTCCATCGCTACAGGTGCCCTTTGGGGCCCCCCTGGTTCCCGCTGGGGCAGGAGCAGCTCACGTGGCCTCTTCTGCTGCTGCCCGTCTCCCAGGCCCGGGCATGGAGAGGGAGCAGCACAGGCAGTACCTGGCCATGCTGGAGTGCCCGTCCCGGTGGTGGTGGGGGGGGGGATGCGATCTGGGGGGGGGGGGGGGGCGCTCAGCGCGTGGGCTGGGGGGGGGGCCGTGGTCTCCGAGCCACGTGTTCTGTATCATGGCTCCCGTCTCGTCATGTCCTGACGCAGCTGCTGCTGGCAGGGGATGAAAGGCCCCAGTGCTGGGTGGGGGAGCTCTGCAGGTGCCTCCCAGGAGGGATCTGGCTGGGCAGGGTGCCCGGGTGCCCAGGCCCCGCCCCCAGAAGGAGGGGCCCCCAGCGCTCCCTGGGGAGTGGGTGGTTCCCGTTGGCAGTGAGGGGGAGGCAGGGTCTGTGGTTCCCTGGGGCCGTAGGGGACCTTGCATCAGGCCCCTGGGGTGCCCAGTCCCTCTCTGCGCTGGCAGCTGTTCCCTGAGGAGCTGGCGTTTGGCTCCTGGCAGCTGCCCTCACCCGGGGGGTCTGAGCCCAGCATAGGGAGCAGCCAGCCCCGTGAGGGCCAGGCTGCCTTGGAGGGGCCTGGCAGGGCTCAGCTCCTGCCCCAGGGCGGGAGGGAGAAGGCAGGCGAGCCGGAGGAGTGGGGCAGCACACGGGGGGGGGGGGGGGGGGGGGGGGGGGCCGGGCGCCCCCCAGGCAGGGGGAGGGCGTCTGACTCATTCCTTCCATATCAGCCCCTCGTGAGTCAACAGCGGCGAAGAAGAACCCTCCCGCCCGGCCCTCTTCCATCCTGTGGGCTCTGGCCGCCCTGGGGCGGGGCCATGCGTGGGGCCAGCTCCCCAGGCCTGGCTCAGCTCCAGGTCCCAACCCCTGGCTGGGGGGATGTCGTCTCCTCGGGGTGGGGGCGGGGGCTGGTGAGAATACGCCCTGCGCGGTGGGCTAGGGAGAGCCTGGCCAGGCATGGGCCCTACTGATGGTGACCCTGCGCCTGGCACAGAGTCCCCGGGCAGCTGGTCACAGGCGGGCCCGGTGCCATGGCCACACGGGGCCCCTCTCCTGCCCCTGGGGCCTGCCCTGCCTCCCCCGTGCCCTAACCCCAGCCTCCCCCCAGCTCCTGTGGCGCCAGTTCCTGAAGTTCAAGGAAACCGAGCTCCCGGCCAAGGAGGCCGACAAGAACCGCTCCAGGGTCATTTACCAGTCGCTGGAGGTGAGCAAGGTGACGCCCTCGGGACCCCCTGGGCGAGAGCCCCCTGATACGTACAGCCGCCAGGGCTGCGCCCCTCCCCTCCCCGGGGGCTGTGCCGAGCCCTTCATCCCCGAGCACCAGGGGCTGCGCCCGGCTGTAAGCGGGCATGTGACCAGGGAGCTGTCCTGTGACTCCCTCACGCTGTGTGAGGCCCAGCAGGGTGCATGGAAGGGGCCTGTAGCTCGGCATCCCCAGCTCCCTACCAGGCCCGACCCCAGCCCCTGCAGACCCTCGGGGTGCCCAGAGCAAAGCCCTCCCCAGCGGGGCCACCCACTGCTTGTGCCCCCCCACTCCTGCGCTGCCCCATGGACCCCTCAGGGCCGGGTGCAGGCTGGTCCCCACATGGCCCCGTGGCTGCAAAGGCCCCATTTCTGTGTGGATCGGGAGCTGGCCCCTCGACCTGCCTCAGGGGGGCTCTCCTGGTCCGCGTAACACCCCCTCTTGCCGGCGCAGGGCACGGTGCAGGCCGGGCAGCTGCAAGTGTCCCCCGGCTACCACCCCCTGGACGTGGAGAAGGAGTGGGGCAAACTGCACGTCGCCATTCTGGAGCGCGAGAAGCTGCTTCGCGCTGAGTTCGAGAGGTCAGTGCTCAGGGGGAGGGAACGTGGGGTGGGGCAGGGCTGGGCTGGGAGTGGGGGAAGGGGAAGGGCTGGCTGGCAGCGGCGGGGCCATGGGCAGGGGAGAAGGGCTGACTGAGAGGGGCCGTAGGAGCTGGTAGGGAACGTGGGGTGCGGAAGGGCTGGGCTGGGGGAGGAGCCGAGGGGGCTGGGAGGGAAAATGGGGCTGGGAGTGGGGGTAGGGAGCTGGTGGGGTGGGAAAGGGCTGGCTGAGGGGGAGCTGGGAGGGAACATGGGGCAGGGCTGGGGGGCCTGGGAGGGAGATCTGGGGGGTGGGGAAGGGCCAGCTGGCAGTGGAGGGGCTGGGGGCAGGGGAGAAGGGCTGGCTAAGGGAGACCGGGGGGGCTGAGGTGGGAAGGGGGTGGGTGGTGGGGGGCTGGCCGGCTCAGGACACCCCTGGGGCTGGCGCTCTCCCCTCCTGGCGAGCCAGGCCAGGCTCCTGCTGGCGGACGCTGAGGGCCGGGGTGTTCCCGCCCTGGCCTCGCAGCCCTTAATGGGAACCATACGGCGGGTGAGTCACCGCCCACCGGGTGCCTCCCCTCAGGAAGCCCAGCCCAGCCCCACCCGCCCGCCGAGCAAACAGAGCCGAGCGCAGGCTGGCCCCTGGCAGTGCTGCTGGGCTCCCGGCTCGCCCGGAGCTCGCAGGCTCCAGCAGGGACGAAAGGGGGGGCTGGGCCTTTCCCACAGGCATGTGGCAGAGCAAGGGTGGCGTCCCGGGGGGCTGTTGTTGCCCTGGCCACCAGGACTGGGTTGCGCACAAGTGGGGCTGGGCT